ACACAATATGAACAGTTTGTGAACAATAGTTCATTCATTATGAACACATTCAGGAGCAAGCCAATGTTGAGATATACACCTAGTGTACATACGAACACAATATGAACAGTTTGTGAACAATAGTTCCTTCATTATGAACACATTCAGGAGCATGCCAATGTTGAGATATGCAGCTAGTGTACATGTGAACACAATATGAACACTTGTGAACAATTCTTTAACAATTACATATGAATTCGAATTCCGATTGTAGTCGTAGACGATTTTAACCTTTTCATTCTCATTGTTGTCGATATGTTTTCCAATAGGTTTATCCATATTACTCGAACGATATCGAAATCTTTACAATCGGAAATTATTTAACAATTACAAAATCAATATCATTATGAATATAATAAATTGAAATTACAAAACATGAACACGTATAAAAAAAATCAATATTACATAATCATCAATTATTGAGATTTTTAGATCTACATAAATGACAAATTACTTAATTACCCTGTCATTAACATATGAGTTGTATGTGAACCTAAAGAAAAGATGGAATATGATTGGTTGAGCTTGGTTAACAAAGTTAACACAAAAATCTTGGTTAGTATTTGAATCAAACCCTATATATATATATATATATATATATATATATATATATATATATGGTATATTTCTTTTACAACCTTGTGCATTTGTACAACCTTTGTAACCCAATTAATTGGGATATTTATAGAAATGATTGTAGTTCATTTATTATGATTTGAATATTTATGGAATATGAATAGAGTTTATTAATTATGATTAATACTTTATATTAGGAAACAATTAATTGATTAAAAATTGAATGGYTGAGATGAGGGTTGTATAGGGTGTAGGAATGGCAAAGAGTGTAGAATAACATCCCTCTCTCTCTCTCTCTCTCTCTCTATATATATATATATATATATAATTATTAATTTAAATTAATTAAATCATCGTATAAACCAATATCATGTAGTTTAGAGATGGGAACAAGTCCAAGATCAGCAAATTGGTGCTTCAAACAACGGTTGGATGAAATATAATCGGCAAAATACTAATTTTCTAAGAGACTTAGAGACGATTAGATAGCACCATAAGACTTCCTTAGCGAATACTAGCGCCATCCTCAGACACTGAAGTCAGTCGAAGATATAGATTCGATACAAGCCCCATAGGGATCATAATTGTGATATCCTCCGTCCAGCCCTTAGACTCGTTACGTTTAACGACTGAACTTGTTGGTCCTAATTTGTCTTTAAACCCATTACCCTAACCAAGCCTTCTCTCCGACTTCTATTAGTACGGAATGACGATCGCACCCACGTTCAGCTATCTATTAATGCGTTCCCACCTGCATGCCTAACCGCTAAGGCCCATCCTAATACAGTCCTTCTAGATGTATGTATCTTTCTCATTCCCCGCTGTCCTTGCTTGGCTAGCGTGCTTCGAAAGCAGTCATGTAAGATTAAAGGACTGCTACCATAACTGCTAACAAAGGGAAGAAGGAAAGTGGATCAAGACAAGTCGATAGACAAAGCAGACAACMCTAGCCTCTATGGCAAGCCACTTGTGGTAAAGGTTTTCTAGCCCCGAAGGTCTTCAGACCAGAGTTATCGGCGCCTATGAAACTGTAACCCCAATCTTATGTAACTTATATTAAAATAATTTTATAAATAGGACAAAATAATTTTTCTTCAAAAAAGAAAATATATTAAATTTTCTTCAAAAAGGAAAAATATTAATTTTGGTGTAATATGATCTTTCGTCAAAGTTTTAAAGTTACAAAATACTTTAATTTTGAGATATACATATTTCATTTTATTATATAATGATACTTTAATTTTAAAAGTTAGATTTATATTAATTTTCATGTATTTAACCTTTTTTAACAATATAATTTCAAGTAAAATTATACATTGATTGTTTGTGTTGTTTGCTTATACTCTAATTGTCAAGTTTCAAAATTACAATCAGATCCCAAATTGCTTGATTTGTTGATACTATTTATCCATGTCTGACTAATTAACCATCAAATTATACAAAAAAATATTTAAAACTATATGATGTGGTGAAGTTTCAACCGCAATATAATTATTATTAACCACAAACCGTGAGCACCACAAAGTGTGATTTGATAAAACGCAAACTGTACCACCAAAAGTTCAAAGCACACCGTGTGGTACAGTGTAGTCGGCATAGAAGTCACCCCTAGTTTTAGTGGCACATATTATAAATAGTTTTCAACGAGTTGTGATATTTTTATAAAATAATACTTATTTTTGCATTCAGATTATTTAGAAACCAAAATATACAAAGATCAATGATGGAAACAAGCTGCTGTAAATTTTGTCAAGATAGAAAACTTCAATTCAAAATTAGTTGCCATACATATACTGATACAAAGTATTAATACGATTAGCACTTAAATAAAGTAATCCTATATCACCCTTAATAAATATATGATCACAAAAAAAAAACACGACATCTAAGAACACTGTTCATAAACACTCCATCATATCCTTTCCAGAAGGAAAAGAAAACACTCCATTTGATATTTTATCGAAAATATACAGCAGTAGGGGCGGCGGGGCAGGGGATGGTGAGGGTGCTAGGTAGTGTTGGTATTGATTAAAATTGATGCAAATGTTATATTTTTCTTTTTAAAATTAATTCTAGAATCTGTTACCTTTGCCTAGAAATGCAATTCAATTCCTTTATTTATGCAAAAAATTACAGAATCTTTCAATCATGGAATTCGACAAAATCCAATCAATTCAATTCGCGAACCAACCAACCAACATAAGGAATTTGGTTAGAGGAATATGTCACTTCAATTCCATCAATTTTTTTCAAATTCAACAAACCAAATGAGCCCTAACTGTTATTGAAATTAGTTGTGACTTTAAAAAAAGACATGTTAGCTCGTTGAACAAATTTAAGTGTGCATATATTCACAGGGTAGTTATCAAATCAAGATTCTTTTTAATATGGAAAAAACATAATCCAAATTTGAGCAAATCAAAGAGGTGAAAACTTTTGCTAGTTGATCATTAAATAAACTTGAATAATTTACTAGTAACTGACGAGTGCAAGATCGAAATTCATAATATCTGAGTTATCATGAATAAGTTTAAACTATTTAAAACTATTGATCTATTAGTTCAAGATCTAATTTTGAATGATATGATTTGCAATTTGGTTTCTAACATTCATAATTATGTGAATATAAAATGCTATGTTGTTAATTCTTTGAGATGATGTACGATGAAAATACATATAGTAAAGATAATATCATCGGGATAACAAATGTAGATGTAAATTCATACATCGAATGTCAGCAAATGGGCTCAGACTTGCAACACCTCCTAGTTGGTACTAAACTTGAGACTGTTAAAGTCGACGAGCATAACCACCTAACAGAATAGAGCTATATCATTTGGAATAAGAATGCATCACATAAGATATGGTTTTTTTTAATTAACCTGGATATCCAACCCGCTATACGAGCTGACTACTCGCAGGACGACCACCTGCTTTGCAGATAACCCGGAGTCACAGCATTTTAACCTCCGTGGCCACAAGGAGATTTTTATTCATTCTTGGATTTGAACCTGAGACCTCCACGTACTTTTGACCTTTGGAGCCAAACTTAAACCAATCAGGCACCACCTTTGTGGTTTAAGATATGGTTTTTTGATTAAGAGACGTGGAAACCGGTGAAATTGATGGACCATAATGGTCTAAATAAGTCAATGTGGTTGGATCTATCAATTTTTTAGTTTTCATGTGGATGTATTGCGATAATGTAGATATATAAGATTAAGGTTGTAAGTATGGAGTATTTAGTAAAACCAAACCAAAAGATGTTCCATGCTCATTTTGTTAGTGTAGATTATTGTGAAAAGTACCAAAATTTGAAGACCGTGTAACAATTGATTGTTCCCTTTCTTATCACTGTCGTTTGCTATGATGCATAAAGATTGAAGACCTTTTAATATCATGTACAAAGAAATGAAATAAAAGAACCATACTACCATCATTGATGGCCACCATAACCATAAAGAGAACTCAATTGAATGTAAACAAGGCTCATGGGTGTTTAAAGATTCACAAACTTCATACAATCACTTAGAAGACTTGATTCAAGATACAAATAATGAAATTAAAACAATGAAAAATAGTGGGTATTGGAACATACATTTATTAAAGATTCATAGGAGGAAGCAAGAGTACATGTTCCCTAGTAGCCATATGTAACTACAATTGGCTTATTCTTGAAGTTGATTTATTCGTTTATCTTATTTAATGGGGTTATAGACACTGAAGTTGTAGATGTTTCTAGTTACTAGTGTTATGGGCATCAATTTCCCTCAGAAGTTCCATTACATAGTCCATGAAAGCAGTTGGATAGGGAACATTCATATTTAGTTTCTCAAACTCAAAGGTCCAAGTAGCCAATTGCCGGCCGTCTCCATGTGGTTCAACATGAAATATGCACTTGAAGGACTTGTACAAGTCTTTCACAAGATCTCCTTCGATTACTTTGAACACTATCTTGTGGTTTGTCTCGTCAATTTCTTCAACAATCTCCTTTAGAGTGTTCTTTTTTCCATCTTTTTGAGTTCCATGCATTGAAAGAAAGAACTTCTTGTTCATAACATGAATCATACACTTATGGAGAACTGAAGAAGCTATATAAATTAAAGAAATTAAGAAGGGTTATGTTACATACCATGGGTATAGCTCCAGCAGACGATGGAGCCAACATCACCTCGTTTACCATGAAGGACATCACACCCATGAATCTTATCAGGAGAAATGGAAGCAATGTCGTTTGGTTTGTGCCTATAGAGATCATGGAATATGTCTCCACGTGAGCTAATCTCTTGGGACATGATCAACTTTCCAATTAGACCCATATTTTCTGATCCTTCAAAGGTTTTTAATAAAGTAAGAAACTGAGTATACAAATACATAAGTAACTTCGTCTTTATATAGAAACAACCCATTGCATTGTGCCCCCTCCCATGTCCTAAAGAGCTATCTTTTGTTTTTTTTATGTTATGTTATTTTATATTATGTTAACTTGTGTACGTTATGTCTTCGGGTCGTCGGAACTTCTGGATCTTCCATTTTGTCTTCCATTTTTAATATATGTTTACACGAATTAATTATGGTTTAGATGTTGACATAAATATTAGTTTATTTGACGATACTTCAATGTTTTGGTTTTTAGTTATAGATTTTTATTTAATATATATGTGAAATTAAAAATTATATAAAAAAGGTTAACAAACCAAATTTCAAGTAATCATTGCTTGACATGTATTTTGAGATTTGATCTAGGAACAAATTGTCGTGTCAAATACTTCAAAAAGCTGATTTTCTTCGTCTCATTAATATAAATAACCGCTGGACATGTGAATTGGTTCCGACCCGTCGGAAAACCCGGTCCATGCATCACGGTAGGAGACAAGGATTCTCCGTTAAACAGGGTCTTAGGAACGGGGACGGGGATCCCCGTTTGACTCAAACCGGGGACAGGGAAGGGGATGGATATCGTACTCCCTGTCCCATCCCATACCCCTATATATATATATATATATATATATATCATTAAATAAATTATATTATATATCATTCATTTTTATTAAATCGGTAAATGGTAATTTCTATTTCAGTATATTTTGGATATTAGTAGATGTGGTTTTAGATATTACTCGATATGTTTTGGTACATATATATTTTTTATATTAAATTAATTTTTTTTTTGATTTTAGGTTTATTGGAAAAATGTGAGATTACATGTATGACGTCTCACATGTTTGATTTAACAAGACTTGTACAAACAGGAAAAATTTCCATTTCCCCGTTGAGAATCCCCGTTCCTGGTGAGAAAAGGGGATGGGGATGTGATCAGATCCTCGGCAGGGACGGGGATTGTGGTCTCCACCCCCTCACCGTGCTTAATAATCGCATCTCCATTGTTCTTTGTATTTACGGACCCCACAACATACATAATCATTAAGCCTATCAAACTTCATTATTAGTATCCGAGATACCCTGTGTAAAACTTTAAACGACAAAGTAATTATATATTTATTGTATTGTCTGTTCAATATATGGAAGGACGTGTCCTAAAAACAATTAAGACACGGGGGAGAGAACATAAATCAATAACGTGAATCTATTGATATTGATATTGCACTAACTACAACCAGAAACCACAAGGTAATTGTATATTTAATTAGTTAAATATATGAAAAGTGCATCTTAAAAGCTATTAACTTATATAAAAAACCACACACTAATTTTCTTATGACCTATATAATTGGTTAATATAGTAAAATAATGAAAAAAATCTGAAAAAAAAACCAATGGACTTTCATATTTTGAACGATTAAGTCTCTAAACAATTTTTAAACAAAAAAAGTATTTAGATCTATAAAAATAAACAAATATACCAAAAGATTACTTACATTTACGAAAAAGTACTTACATTTAAAAAAAATTATTGATAAAATTTATTTTAAATAAAAATAAAATATATTCTCTCAGTGATTTTTTAAATT